AAGGATTTCTTAACAGCGGCTAAAGCCATGTCCTGCTGGGCAGGACAATCACCCCGCTTATACCCTGCCTTCGGGATGAGACACTGTGCAGGCTCCCAGCCTCAGCGGCATAGCTCCGTGTCACCTGGACAACACCGAGCCAGCTCCCCAGAACCAGCTGGGAACCTGCTAGCAGGAGGAGCCAGGTTTGCATAGCAAGGATTGCTGTTAAGCTGGCTCTCTGCAAATGCAACTCACTTGGTACAGCTACATGTAACACGCTCCTAATAAGGGACTCGGTTTTACAACTATGTGGGAAGATCCTAATGAGAGATGCGTAGGTCCTCTGGGATCAGTTCTTGGACAAGGTCCATGAACTGTATTTACTGATAATCTAGTAGACAAGCAAATGATTTTTCTGGCAAAGCTCACAGATGAGATGAAGGCTATGGTTTAGATGTGGGACTTTATCTATCCTTGTGGATGCCAGAGCACGCCTGGTATTCCCTCTGCTCAGCACAGGTGAGACACATCCAGGGTTCTGGGTCCAGCTTTGGGATCCTCAGCAGAAGGAAGACGTGGGCATACTGGAGTGACTCCAATGAAGGGCCACTAAAATGATTAAGGGACTGGGGCATCTGACGTCCAAGGAGAGGACGAGGGAGCTGGGACCATCATTCAACCTGGAGAAGAGAAGGCTCAGGGGGGATCTTATCAATGTGTATGAATACCTGATGTGAAGAAGACCGAGCCAGGCTCTCCTCAGTGGTGTCCACTGAAAGGACAAGAGGCAACGGGCACTGTGAGGGTGGCCAACACCCAAACAGGTTGTCCAGAGAGTCTGTGGAACCTCCTTGGAGATGTTCAAACCCTGACTGGCAAAGTTTCTGAGTGGCCTGGTCTAGCTGAACCAGCCTGAGTGGGAGGGCTGGACCGGATGATCTCCAGAGGTCCCTTCCAACATGCACAACTCTGTGATTCTTGAGAAGTCACCTTGCCTGCTGAAGGTTCACAACAAATTAAACTTGGGCTTGGGGAAGTTTCTGCTGATCAAACTAGCAGAGACCATAATTTCTTCTTCCTATGTGTGAAAGGTGTGCTCTGCTCACATCACTGGGGTCTAGCTCACGTTGTCTCTCCCCTACCATCACCTCAGCACAAACACCTTGGACTTTTCCTAGCTAAGCCAGTGGTAAATCATTCTGTCTCCTCCTGAAGACTGAAATGCTACTTGTTAAACCAGTGTCATGGAGTTCCAAAAAGGACAGCTGCATAAAACCTCATTACCTGTGATCTACAGCAGGTCAGACTGCAGCATCTCATTGTTCCCTTGGCTTTAAAACTCCATTAAATCTTTCAGATTGAGTCGGGGAACAGAAAAAAGAAAAACAACAAATCCTGGAAGCAGGACAGACCTATGGCCAAGTTCCTGTGGCTCAACTGGACATAATTCTCCCAGCAAAGACAAAACACCCATTCCAGAGCAACCTCCTGCCTGACTCTTAAATCTCAAATATTGGCAGATAAACAAAAACAAAGACAATTACAGCCAAGATTGCTGAAATAACTTCTCTAAAAGGCTCCTTTCCTTCCCTGCTTCTTAAGGCGTCCCCACTGCTTTCCACAAAATATTTGCCATGCACATTTCCCTCCAGGAAGCAGAGGAGGGGTTGTAAAACTGATTTACTGTATCTAATTTTTGAAACCTTCTAACTGGTAACACGATTCAATGCCTATGACTACCAACAGAAGGACTTTCGGGGAAATCAGTAGCAGTTTGCTCAGGTCTCAGCTGATCAGTTTTCTAAACATCACTTCTAATGCATGGCACAGGGAACATACAAAGATATATTCCAGTTCAGCCTGGAGGCTTGTCTAAGGTCATTCGTGCAAATCATTCCTTGACAGCAAACCCAAGGGACCTGCGTGATAGTAAATGCAACTGTTGTGGGTATACACTACTATTTCAGATACGTTTCCTGTTGAAAACAGGGAATTTAATCTGACTTTGTCCCATGAAAGCTCTGTAATCAGGAAAACGGCAATAGAATCTCCTTCTGCTCTAAAGCCATGTTACAGCAAGCATTAGTGTGGCTTAGGGAACTTACATTGTGTTTATGGCAGAAGTTCACAGCTTGGAGGGTCTGCCAGGTTATGCTCTTCACTAGATGCTCCGGCACCCTGTTTTGAAAAAGCACATTTTTATTTTGGCCATTGAAAATAACTTCACTATTACAGGAAAAAGGAAGAGGAGGCCTTTGAGCACTAACGTTGTACAGGGATCTCTGAGCAAAGCCATCAGGGACCAAATCAGAAAACTAACATGAGTGCATTTTCTTGCTATAAATAAGTTAACAAGAAATACATAATAACCCTCAGTTCGTTGATCTTCCACTGCAGGAAACCAGCCACGCTGGGCTGCTGATGGTGGAGGCTGTTTGCACCTCGTCCCATGTTTCAGAGCTGAGGCTGAGCTCTGCCTGCACCTCCCTGCAGAAAGCAACACCCTCCTGTGAGGTTACCCTTCAAGCATCGCAGGAGCATCAAAGGGAATGTCAACACCACTTCCAAATCCAGTCAATGCAACAAGATACAAGGATTTATGGCAGCTAAGAGCATGCCAGAATGTCTGGTGCCACTCAGTCACAGCCAGCATGAGGCCTGCCAACTGGTCACCACACATCAGTGCGTGCAAGTCCGTGTCAAATCCTGTCTTGTGGCTGTGCTTAGTATCCACGCTTCCTGGCCATCTTCCTGAAATGCCAGCAGCTCAGAGAGTTGGACGTGGTCGAGTATCCGTTGTATAGATGCGTGCTCTGACTTGCAATGCTGTCAAGTCATTGCTTGTCCAGAGTAGAGAGGTGACCAAAATGGGACAGGGAAAGATGTTCCTAACAGGAGTCTAAAGCTCTACTTCGGTTTGCATCTCCTCTCCTTCCCTCCAATGGCTGGCAAATATTTCAGAGAAAGAAAACCTGTGTTAAAGATCCAGCCTCCTCTCCTCTCTTTCAGTTACTATGCAACAGTCCTTAAAACTCCTTGGCTGTCTGTAATGGTCTTCAACAACCCCAGGAAAGGCAGAGGTGACAATGCTGGCACTTTTAAGCTCAAATCCAATTTTATTTGATGTGTTTAATGCTGAAAAGCTTCTGATTCATCATAAAGAGAAAAAAAACCCACCAAACTAAACCAAAACAATATGCAGGAAGCCTGGCTTTTTCTTTAAGGTACCTTCTGGGTGTTGTCTACCTGGACTTTAGTAAGGCCTTTGACACCGTTTCCCACAGCATTCTCCTGGAGAAACTGGCTGCTCGTGGCTTGGACGGGCGTGCTCTTTGCTGGGTAAAAAACCGGCTGGGTGGCCGGGCCCAAAGAGTTGCAGTGAATGGAGTTAAATCCAGTTGGTGACCGGTCACCAGGGGTGTTCCCCAGGGCTCAGTGTTGGGGCCGGTTCTGTTTGATATCTTTATCGGTGATCTGGACAAGGGGATCGAGTGCACCCCCAGTAAGTTTGCAGATGACACCAAGTTGGGCGGGAGTGTTGGGGTGCTGGAGGGTAGGAAGGCTCTGCAGGGGGATCGGGACAGGCTGGGCCGATGGGCCGAGGCCAGCGGTGTGAGGGTCGGCAAGGCCGAGTGCCGGGTCCTGCACTTGGGTCACAACAACCCCGTGCAACGCTGCAGCTGGGGAAGAGTGGCTGGGAAGCTGCCTGGCCGAAAAGGACCTGGGGGTGTTGGTCGACAGCCGGCTGAACATGAGCCAGCAGTGTGCCCAGGTGGCCAAGAAGGCCAACAGCATCCTGGCTTGTGTCAGGAATAGTGTGGCCAGCAGGAGCAGGGCAGGGATCCTCCCCCTGTACTCGGCACTGGGGAGGCCGCACCTGGAATACTGTGTCCAGTTTTGGGCCCCTCAG